TCAAGAAGAACTCATCTACAGATCTATTACAGATTTCTTGCTCTTCTGTAGTGAAGTTAAATTGCTCGTTATCTATCTTTCTAAGAGAAAAGCCATTTATAATTGGCCAGAAACTGTGGGGGTGTAATAGCAACGAAAGATTCTTTGCTGAATTCAAACGCAAGATTGTCACGTGCACTGTTGATCAAGATTGACCTCAGCCTATCAGTAATCACTTTAGTCAAAGTTCAATAATGATAGTTAAATAGATAAGCTATAGTTTCTATGGTGAATTAGATTGCTCGAACTTTACACATACACAAGCTAGCTTCTGCTCAAAATCTACATACAAGACATGTTTCTAAATTTGATATTAACTCTAAGTTTAAGTTAGACATCTTGTACAAGTCCTAAATGTACCCTAAATGTATATCAGACCTCTTTTCTGATACTTAAATTAATTTTTCCTGAAATATAATTTTACAATCAAAACACCGAGTCCGTTTATTCTTTTGACAAGGTAAAAACATAGTAAAAACGTTAATTAATACTTAAACTGAAGAAATAAACAGATTGGTCGTTATCAATACCCTCTTTTTCCCTGAACAATGAACCTTTCTGCTGAGTGTATTTTCTCCCAACAAAGACTCTTTCTTGAACCTAATCTTGTTACCCACAATAGACTTCTTTCTTTAGGACTGAGTTTAATCTCGATCTATTAACGAACATATCAATCGACGACTAAAACATAGTTCTCAAAGCATACTCGGGAATCCCTGTTTCCAACAAAAAGCCCTCGAATGAATTCCAGATCGGTTTCTTTAGTGGAGAATCGCTTTACAATCAGCCTGAATCGCAAACTGATGTGGGCCTGACAGTGTAAGATTGCTCAGACGTCGAGTTAAGTAGGCGGAAGCGAATGCCACGAATTTGAAAGCACGTACGTCTATCTGTCCAACGCGTTGCCTCCGTTCCTAACCGTTTCCGCTAATAATTCAACTGGTTCGAATCAACCAATGCACGTTTGTTTATACCACGATAAGATCTGCAAGTGGCACGTAACTCAGGCTCGAAAATCCTCACGCTGGTAAGGAAGTTGTTAATTGGCCTGATGGATCGTGTCAATAAATCCCCATCATCGTGACGAGATAAAAGTCGGAAGAAGCGGATGGGTTAGGGTTACTTCGAAAAAAGGAAAGCAAACGTCTTTTCGTTTCTGAATTCTTCTTTTATTTAACATATTCAACACGTCCTTTTATTTCACACGATGTCCCACTGATTACCCATAATAATTGGCAAGAATCAAACTTTCATGGGGTAAGCAAAAGAATCCAGTTTTGCTACATGTTCGTGTTCAAGTAAAATAAGTAAGTAATTAAAGATACAATGTATGATTGATTTAGCAAAGTTCGTTCCTTTTTCTAGTTGTCACTGGTTAGTTGCATGTCCTCGAATAAGTCGAAAAATTGACTGTTTTTACAGCATGAAGCGAATTATCATGGGAGTCGTAACGTAAAGTGTTTCCACCGATTGTGGGCTGTTATGGTCGCAGTAAAAACGCGATTCGCGCGCTATCGTGGCACGTAGAGTTAGCTGCAGCGCAAAATGCAGTGACTCACGGCCAAGCTGGTGATTCAAGAAGCGATTAGGCAGTGTGCTTGGTTTTTAAGGCAATCGAAAGCTCGTGCTTCTCTTGCCCAATATTCCGACAAGTTTGAACCTACTTTTCGTGCTCGGTGTTTAACCTCAACTTCAAGTTCCGTTCTGTTCTTGGGTTAATGATGGCGCAGTTCAGGGAGAAAGTGGTGAACGCAAACAAAAGATCTATAATTACGGACACAGCTAAACTTGAATAGAAAATTTGTTATACCGAGAGACACTACTATACACAAGTTTCTAGCTAAAATTTATTGCAAAATCTTTATGTATCATTCTTGGTACCACTTCCTCGCTGATCTTGGTTCGCAAAAGATTAGACATTAATTGCATTAAAAAAAGATTTTGTAAGCTTTATGTAGATGACGAACGAGTATTAATCTATTAAATACAATAAGTTTGAGTTTTTAATACGAGAAGAACATGATTTTTTCTGATTTATTTCGAAGATCTAACTAAATTGGATTCAGGTTATAGTCCCCTAATCGTTGCCATCCTCAAATAAATGGTAAAACAAAAACCAAAGGCGATTGTTGAAAGAGCATACTCGAAGGAAGCAAGGATAAATATGAGCCATTGAAACAGTCATTGACCATGTTAATAAGCGTTCCACATTATCGCCTAAATTCTTGGACAGGGAGTAGAGTCTAATCACCGATTCAACTCTAACGGTACCCAGACAATCGTCATAATTTACGATTCTGGCTCGTCGGTGGAGCTCTTCTCTCTCTCTCTCTCTCTCTCTCTCTCTCTCTCTCTCTCTCTCTCTCTCTCTCTCTCTCTCTCTCTCTTTCCATCCATTCTCCCTATCTCTCTCTCTCTTTTCATCCATTCTCCCTCTCTCACTCTCTCTTTCTCGTCGCGTACAGAGAGCGTCTCTATAACGGAAGACCGTTGTGTTGCGGTCTCTTGCATGGAATCCATCTCGTTTTCCGAGAAATCTTCAATGAACTCGGTCGCCATTAACTATAGGCGACAGAGGATCCATTTTTTCCGTTTCTATCTTGGAAAATTATATAACGCGATAGTTTACATAACAACGAGAGTGTGTTGGCATCTGCCAACGAAATCGGCGATTAAACGGGGTCAATGTGTTCCAACGCGCAACACGACCGCTGGAATAGCGCGAAGAAAAGTATAAAACCAAGAGAGACGTTGACGATGATGAAATTCCCGTTGGGTCTGCGAGCTTTCTAATAATACTGCGGGGCCAATCGATCGAAGGCCGAAATAGAAGAACCATCGAGCAATTTGCAAGTGAAGTTTGCACCATGGAGACGGATCGGAGATAAACCCGAGACAGTTTCGCGGAACAAAATGGGGGACCCGTTTCGAGTATTTCAACAAAGGCTTCGCCACTGACACGAGTTCACCGTGAACTTCAGCGGTGAATCGAAATAGCAACGGTTTAAACAATATCAAGGATTCTATTGCGTAAAGTACACAGTTTATCCGAAGCTTCTAATTTTGGGACAGGTTTGGTAATTCAGGCAACTATAACTCGTAAATCTGAAGCACCCTCAAGGTTAGTTCTCGAATTCCCTCGCGATAAAATAAGGATAATAAAAGTTTAAAATAGATAAAAAGCAGAATAAATACACGCGTGTTCGTTTTAAATATCATCCCGTGAGCACTTTCCAACAATCTAGCACCGACCGCGAGTCTACCTTGAACCGTCTATCATCGGCAAGATCGAGGCTCGAAAATTCGATACCCAAACGGTAATCCAGCGTTCCCATTAAGCGTACGATATTCTTACCGAGCCAGTCGCAGTGTCGCCAATACAACGATCGTGGAATAAAGACCGCTCGACGAATAGACAGAGATAGAGACGTAGCCTGAACGTAGAACGGAGCAAGGAAGCCAGCGCGGTACTCCGTCTCGTCCTCCATTTCTCTTTAGCGACAGTCCCTCCCGTCAGAGCTTCCTAGCGGTCGGAGTAAACAAACTCGTTCGACGAATCGAAATCGTACGCGCTACCGTAGTTGAGAGAGGAAGAAACCGCTCGAGTGCCGTTTCTTCGCGACGATATCGCGATCCGCGGGACAAAAGGATGCGTATCGGCACGAGAATAGATGTATCGGCTCGGGTCACGCGTCCGCGAACGTTGCACAATTGAGGTTAGGAAACGAAGGTCCAGGATTGTTCCTTTCGCTGGCGAAAGAACGATGAACGCATCGGTGACAACCACTGTTCCGTTGCCCTTGCACTTCCAATGATCGTGCGTTGATCGAGCTGTCGATTACCAAGCGGTGCTGCCACTGCATTGTTTCGATCGAATTTTCTACTATACGAACATAATATATCCGTGCCTCGACCCCTGCACACCGCCGCGCCGGTATATCCTTTTCCTTTTCGTGCTCTATCGCCGCGACGCGCACAAAACACGGCTCTACATCTTCGCACTTCGATCCTGACCGCGTTACAAGGCCGCTCTCTGTCTTCTTCTAATCACTTTCACGAACGTGAACCTCTCTGTGTTTGTAGCCGCTCGGTCGGTAAGATCGATCCCCTACGTTACGCCATACACCGCCGGTTTGGCACCGACCGAAGAATTACGCGTATAGTCCGCGCCGAAGAAGCAAAGTTTCTTATGTACACACATTCGGATGCTCGCATGCATATATACAGGCATGTATACACTCATACACACCAGGCAAACGCGCGTTCGAGCTGCCTCTATGACAACGACCTTGATCTCGAATTCGCGTTCGCTCGTTCTCTCTTTCTCGCACTTCCATTCTCTCGCTTTCTCTCTTTCTCGTTCGTTCAAGAGGGACAAGGAACAAGTGGGCAGCTCAGCTTCGAGTAGTTTTCCTTCGATGCAGTAATAACGTAGTTAAGCGGAAAACCTACACACAATCGCACGTATCATACACACTGCACCGCGAGACGACACTCGGCCGACCACTTATACACACGACACGCATTCGTACTTCTGCCAGTGAATTCGTCCCTTCTCTTACGAACGAATATCCCTCTTCTCATCCCGTTTCGTTACACTCGATGTTCCTCGCTCCATCTCTCTTTCTATCCCTCTCTTTCTCGCTCATACGGACTTTGTTACCCCTCTCCCAACGGATGCACTCACGCACGGTACACACCGTAGATGTAGACCAAACGAATAAACGGACAGACAGGCCGAGCAAAGGAAGGTCTAGCCGCGTCCGACAATGTTTTATTTCGACTAACAAATGCCGATTGTTGTCGCGTTATATCGGGTGCGCGCGATGCCGTGCGGTATCGTTGACCCCTCTCGACACAGGCAGGAACAGAAGCAACACGCGAAAGGAGAAACGAGTGTGTTGTGTAGAGAAAGAAAGAGGAGGAAGAAAAAGTGTATGAAGAGAAAAGGATCCACTCGCCTGAACAGTGTTGCGTTTGAGGAGCCGTGGTAGCAACTGCCCGCAGTAATAGTCGTCAGCTGATTTCGACTGGCTGGCTGGCTGGGCAGTCAAGCCGTTGCTGAGGGGAGAGAGCCGAGGTACAGCCGGTGGTGGGGCGGGCCGACGGTGGGGAGGGCTTTTAAAGCGATACCAGGACCGTAGTATCACGGGGCCTCCGGTGCCCCTCTCGCATCGATCTTTCCATTTTTTCTTGACTATCGCGCGATTTTGTTATCGAATCTAGAAAATCCAATAGTCTGGTGTTTCCCAGAAAGTAATCGTCACCTTATCATTTATTCGGCGTTTGCGAACTTGTTATCGGCAGGCAATTGTTTACCAACTACTGATCGTTCATTTCTGTACGAGTGAATTAATATGACAGGAGATTAAAAGTGCTATTACTTTTTAAAACATATAAGGCCAGTCGGAAATAAGAAAGAAGAGGGAAATCATGCCGGCTGTAAGAAATACAAAATCACCGCAAATGCAGGAAGTGGAAAATTAATGAAGGGCTCCGTGACTTGGTACTGGCGGTGCAAGGCACTCGTATAAAATATGTAGCTCGGTGATAATGTAACACTTAACTGTTATTTATATTAAGCGCGATATAGATGTCGTCGCAACCCCCAAAAGAAGCACGCTTATACAACGATAAATATTGAAAGAATCTATATGATATATCCGGCTCTATAGGCCTCAAATGAACGCGGTCAGAGCAGAGTTTTTACGGATTGTGGAATTCGAAGAACAACGCAAAACGTATTTCGGGTGATTTTTATTTTTACGCTGACCTTCATCTTGGCCGCTTAGAATTCGCACCCGGACGCGTGTGAATAACTTTAGCAACGTCAACTGACGTAACGATCTTTCGTAATTTCACAAGCAGTACGTATTTTTATAAACGCGTTTACGAAGAACCCTCGCATCGGTGCTCACAATCGGGAACCGAGAATTCGACGGGGGGGCCTGACGACTCATTGATTCGGTGGTGAGAACAAATCGTTGGTGGGGGAACGCTCAGCTGGGCGAACAGCTGCTGGTCGGTGTTAACACTGGGACACTTGGAAAACTTCCTTTTTACCTAGTATCCATTAAATTTCCGTTACTTCGCGAAAACCACTACTATTCCACGGACCGAAAATCACCAGCTCGTGAGACAAAGCATCCCTACCTGGCAATCATCCTGCTAATTATCCCTCGCCATTAGGTTTCTTCGAAACAAAGTAGTTTCATTTAGCTCGTAGCGACATCGTTGCCCATAGTGGCAAGATGGCATCATATGTAGCAGTGCTTCTCAAAATGAAGTGAGGTTAGCCAACTTGATGAAAAAAAATCGATGGTTAAAACATCAAATTCTATCAAACATACATCTTCTTACTTCTTATTGTTTCGAATACGGTATATAAGAAATGCAATTACGTATACTCGCAGGTTACGTTCCGAGATTGACGTTTATGTGAAATGTAAATATTCGATGTAACAATCGTGATGCCGTAATGTTCCTGTGCGAATCGAGTGTATCGTGTAACATTTATTTGCTCGATAATGAGGTATTCGTAAATCAAGCGTAATCTTATCAATGTTTACCAACGAGATCGTAGAGGTTAGGAAAAAGAATGCGCGCACCATTTTCATGAAACGTGAACGGAGGTGTACGAAATATGCGAGAGATTAGACGAAACCTATTCGAGGGTAGAATAAAAATGAATTTTATACGGTGAATGAGACGGGATTGGAATACCTCTGTTGAATAGTAGCATAGTGACGATCTGACCGACGACGAGACGCCTGCGCGAGTCAGCCCTGTCAATACTGTTTGGGAGATCCCTCCATTTCTCTGTTGGATTGATACGAGTCAATGCACGGTAGTAACCAAGCGTATATGAGGAACTTTTTGTTTCCTACGACCCAGTATCGCATACTCCACTTTTGGCATTGATTTCCGGAAACCCTTACGTGCTTGAAAAATAAGTCAGCATCGAAATCTACTAATCAAATAACATATTACTAGGCTTCGAGATGAATTCTTTGTTAATTTGTTTTCAATCATGGTTATGCGTTTAATTTGCAATTAGAGCATATATTATTTCTGACTGCAGAGATACTTTGGAAACGAGAGAAAAAAATGGATTTTTAATGTTTTATTACGAGATATACGTGTGGAGACAGAGAGATAATTCAGTGGTAGGGAAGCACGAAAACAAACTTACGATAAAGACATAAAAGAGGATTTTATTTCGATATTTCATTTTTTATGTGGAAAAAATACTAATGATAATATCAAGCAGTGTACGTGTAAGCGTGCATTAATAGCATTTATTGAATTGAAAAAACGCCAACATTTTTGGAAGAGCTGAAGCATAACGAAATTTCCTTGGCAATACAAGTAATGGAAATTTGTACGATATAAGGCAGAAAAATATATTTTATACGACGTGCATTATTGGTAATTTATTTTCACTTTCCTTTAGATTATATTACAGTTATTTTGTAAATAAATTTGTATACGTATGTTTGTATGTAAACAGAGTATTTGTCAACAATAAATAGAAACATGAAAATTGAATTTTTCTTTGGCATACACTCCGTATCATGAGCATTGGCGTCGACATTTGGCACCTACCTACATGCATGAATTACAGTTTAGTATTTCCTACGAATTTACATAATGCTGAAATAATTCTCCTATTTTAAGAGCAATGATAAAAACTTAAATATCTATATCTGAAAGATTGCAATTAATTTAAAAACTTGATGAGTTTGAATGAGCTTAAGGAGTTTCCTGTAAAATGACTAAAGAATTCTGTCGTGTCAACCTTGAATTATTGATCAATTCTTTTCATTTCTGAGAAATGTATATTGTTTTCTATTTTTTAAGGTGACATAAGGGTAATAAAATACGTGGATATATAAATATATAATAGCGCGTAAATTTTACTTTGAATTTAAATGGATGTATAAATTAAATTTTTATGAAAATTTTATCGTGAACAAAATTAAATTAAACTTATAAATTGCGTTGAATATTGTTGGGAATTTAATAGATTTAATATATTTTTTCATTCGTCATTAGAAGGTAGAGAATTAGTACAATTATATCCCTTGATACTATACTATTTTGCAGTTTGTGCTAATTAGATAAAAAATTATAATGCACTTTTTTCTAACGATTTGTAAACTGGTAAAATTACTATGATCGTTTAAAATTGATCTAACTTTTGCGTGAACAATTTTATGCAACATAACTTATGACTTTATAATAATAAATTCGATTCGTTTATATCCTCTCATTAAAAGCCTATTCATGCACTGTATAAGACAGGTTCCATGAAACCGGTTATGAGTGTTTCCGCTTTACCTTATAATTAATTTTTTCTACCATTTCTTTCGAATTTCCGATTATCACCGATTATTGTAACAATAAACTTGTTTTATTGATAAGGTTCAAAAGAAGTTAACTACTTATAAGTACACAGTGTATGTTTAATCGTGATTACAAAAATGTTTTTAAGAATGTAATTTTCAAGACGAACATTTTTAATATAAATGTTATTACGCGTTTTGCAACGTTTCTAATACTTTCATAAAATCAATTACTTTTTCTTTATCAACTTCATTTCTCCATATCCCACCAACTTTAAAATATGATCCAACAATTACTGCATCAGATGATAAATAGTTCTTTATATTGCCTTTTGTAACACCAGAACCAATAAGGACAGGTATTTCAGTAGTATTTTTAGTCTCTAAACATTGTAATATTCTTATGTAGTAATTTTAGTAAAAAAATATTTATCGACATAAAAAGATACCTGCAAGCTCTGATACATCAGCTGGGTCACCCGTAGTTGTCCCTGTCAGTATTATTCCATCAGCTAAGAAAAATTTTGCTGCTTTTACTGTCTCTGATAAACTTACATCAGAAGTGATTGCATGTGAACTGTAGAAATAAAATGTCATGATTCTCTCCCTAGACTAATAAAAAGTCAAATAAGAAATAAGTTTCCCTCTCGAATCATTAATAAATCACCTATGCTTTTTCTTGATATCACTAAAGACAAGAATATTCTCAGCATCAATTTGTTTTCTATATCTTAACAAAGAGCCAGCACATGCATCTATAAAGCCCTCATCTGCAATATGAGAAAAGACAAACCCTTCTGCTCTGATAAATTGAAAATTAGCTGCCTTTGCTACAGCTATTGCTTCTTTATTACATCCTGCTAAAATCTATTTTTTGTCTTTATTCTTTCTTAAAGAATTACAAATATGGGATTTCTATGTACTGTTTTATATAATAAATTCTTTGATTTATACCTGTACACCGCAAGGCAGTTTTTCAGGCAAGACATTTTTAATTTCTGTACAAATTCTTGTCATCATTGCTGTAGTCTCAGGAGTTATATGTTTAGACGTTACATATGGAATGTCATGCATATTTTCTACTAAAATACCATCCTTAAATTTAAATATATTAAATTTGTAAGTTACAAAATTAGTGGCGGCAAATTTTCTAAACTAAACTTACAACATTACAATCTCTATAAATCATTGCTTCCGTTACTGCATTATTTAAAATTTCTTTGACATTGCCACGATATAAAGGTGTCCCTAAAAAGTATGCAGTGAATGATGAAATATAAAAATAATTATCAAACAAAACAAATAATTTATTATTAAAGATGTTATGTAAATAACATATTTTTGCTGGATACTTCTTTATTGACTGTCAATGAAAAACATACTGTTTTTATGAGATGAGATTTCTTTTATATCAAATATGGAGATAAACCATTATACTGGTACTTTAGAATCAACAATGATAAAACCAGTAATCAACAACCTTTATTCAGTGCAGTTTTTTTTAATAAAACATGGAAATATTTTATATTTATTGGATGCCAAATATACAAATTCATATTCAATTTTGCCTGAATTACTTTTTCTATGTACACCTCTTATGCAGTTTTAAATTTAGTTAAATTATTATACCCGGTAATGCACCAACGTGTATCATTCCAATCACGGAACATCTTCCCTTTTTGAAAAGTCCATAAAAACTTTTTCCTAACATTTTCGTTAAATATACGTCCTATTTCACCGTCATTTTCACTTCTGAGAACAATTTCAAGTACAGATTTCTAATCAAATAGTAACTATATATATAAAACCGAGATAATTCTACTCTGTGCTTTAACCATAACCAGATTCCAACGAAAAGTTTTGCTATTCCACGTGAAAAGCATTATCACTTTTACGTTAGATATTTGAGGTTAGAAAGAGACGTCGAAAAAATTGACAACGACTGATTTACATGTTCATTCACCAATTTAATGTTCTATGTTTCTTTTATAATAACAGAATATTTTAATCGTTTGAAGACATTTATAAATAATTATTAAATTGATTTAAAGGTATATAACAAATGAAATTGGTTTTAAATAACCTAAATATAGGTTAGTTTCTATAATCAGTGTGTCAGTTTTACACAAATTAAACTGATTTTTAACGAATGAATATTTGTAATGTTAAAATAACTTATTTTTGAAAGTATTACTTTTAAATTATTATTTTATGAAACAATACAAACAACAACACTGAAACCGCGATGGTATAACAGTAGAAACAAAAATGAGATACAGAAAACTGTAATATCGACCTCAACTGTTAATGGTTCTTCGCGTCCTCTACAATTTAGGATGCAGATTTTTAAGAAAATGAATTACTAAAGTCGGCAAATTCAGTAAATATAAAAAGTGTACAAAAATGTTTGTGAACCTAAACATCTTTTTCGATTAAATTAAGTTACCATGATATTATAGATACTTAAGTATTGTATAATAAACGTACAAGAACTGGAGTTGAGTTTTTGATCTGGTAACATTATAAAAGTTACTTTAAAATTTATAAATTTTCTTCATTAAAAATGTAATGGGGACTGTAAAACTACAATTCGCAATTTTATATTAGAAACTAAAGGAGGTTACATACTTTTTTACTATAGCAATCTTTTTAATTTTTATTGTATTTAGTTCCAATTCCAGCCACTGGTAGTACTGTACCCTCATTCTAAACTCAGTCGGTAAAGTTGGGAGTGATATGAAAGCATCAGAAGACCTATAAAGTTACCAAATCGTGTAACAATATGAATTGGGCGTCTATTCTATATCATATCTACGATAATAATTAATTTTAAGCTATAAACACTGTAGAATTTTAGAACGAGGCTCTAATAAAATTGTGAAGTATATTAAGTAATAAATCCAATTCCTTTAAAACATAGTTATGTAAAATAACTTCTTAAGAATATTTGTTATAAAATGCAATAATAACGTGTGCCAATTTCCCTACTCCAGTTCATAACAATTATAACCTAAAGAGTGCCATCATCCAAAATAACAGCCTAAATTAACATAACTACTACATGTCAATAATATAAAGATTCTCAATTTAGATTGTTATACTAAAAACTTATACTAAAAACTCAAAATAAGTGTGCTATTTTTTTTCACATAAATTGTTATTTTCGACGTTTACACTTACTCTACAAACGTATGCTTTTAAAGTTACCAGCTCGTTCGCAACAAACTTTTCTTTCCAATCTCCTTGAATTTTCGTCCTTGAAATTGTGCCTGGCACTCGACCCCAAGCACCACATTCAAATACTCCCTTTCCTAATTCCATCCACCTGTTAAACGGAGCTTCTCCAGAAGGGTTGTATACCCTCCCTCTAGATATTCATTTTGACATGCGTTCCGCGTTCCCTATGTGTTCCCAAGCGGCACGCGCGCGTTTCTTCCGTCAGTATCGCTCGGTCCCTCAGACGAGAGTGTTCCATGAATGGGTGGGTTTACAATTCCTTCGACTAAAGCTCATAATACCAGGTCTCGTTCAACATCCTTCCACTAACTCGACAACCATCGCAGAAAACTAAGTACCTCGATCGATACACGATCGATTACCAAACTAACCCAAATTGCGAATACCCCAAGAGGGATCGATCGGTTTCTCATCGCAGTGATTCGATATCGAGTTTTCTTGATCACGAGGTACACTACGAGGAGAAAATTATCGTCGGATAGACGAGACAAGTGAAATAGTCGTGAGATTCACGAGGTTGGTGTGGTGCTCGCGGTTCAATGTCGATCAACAAGTAGCTCGTGTATATAGAAAGCTGTTTCATAGTGTACAGTTCAGGTTGGCTCAAGCACTGTGAATTGGTGCAGGGAATGGTACATAGTTCTCCAGTGAGAAGTGACAGCAACGTAATTACTCGTCTGCCGACCGAGCGTTCGCTGGTCTTCTTCCGGTTGCGTATGAGTGACGTCTCGACGGGATCGCGATCGAGTGACTGCAACTGGCAATCGAGTAGATACCGATAATCGATCGTGACCGTGTTCGTGTAGCCAGGATCGATCCTCGACATAGTGTTCTTCAGTGGTAGAACCGGTTCAACCGTTTAGGTCCTGGATCTCTGGGTCTCGCGTTTCTCTAGTTTGGTCTCGGACCTGAGATTATCGGAAGAAAGGAGGCGATAAACTCATTTGGACTTAATCGCAGACTAATTCGGGGGAATAATGGAATTGGATGAGTTCAGAGAGGTTAACGTGATCTTTTATTTCTGACTGGGCAGCAAATGATCTGAGAGAAATCTTCCATGAGTGTTTTAAATCTGATAAATCTACCTTGACATCGAGTGGGTGGTTTGAATTATGGAATGTGAAGATGGAAGACTCTGTTGGAACAGTGACCTTAACATTGGCTTGGGTCTAACTTCGGGTTAGGTTGCTTCTGATTAAAAAGGATTATCTACCTTGTCAAATTTTACAAAACTAACGATACCATCAACATCCTTAAAATTAATCGGTAGTTTAAACCTGAATTAACTACCCTGATTAATCCATGTCCTTGATGCAAATCTATTAAACCGGGCAATCAAATTACCAGCGACTTCAAAGTGAACGATTTCAATCGCTGAAACAGTCAGAAGATTGTATTTTCTATCACGATTGATTTTATCGCTATATTCTGAACAGTGAAGTCGAACGAAATATCGAACGGATAGGCTCTATCGATCAGAGGGTACCTCTGATGCTCTGACGTCCAATAGGAGATTCGAAGGATCAGATTGCAAACACAATCAAGTCCATTTTCCACTAGCAAGACGATTAAGCTTTCGTATCACAACTTTTGCCTGCGAAAAGTCCTATTAGTGACACTGTCGCGAAGTTTGGAATGCCGGAAGAGGGAAGATTGGAAGAGCTTCAGGGGGAATGCAGCTTGAATGGCGGGAAAATATGGGACGTCGGTGAGAATCGCCGGTTTCCAAAACTGATTCACAGAAACTGAGATGTAATCAGGGGGTTAAACGACAAACTCGAAACCACAGCTCCGAGATAGGGGGATCCCGGTGTTGCAGGGAGCAAGATCTACACGCTGGCAGTGACGTCGATGCACATCTGCGCGCGAATATTCGCGTGGGCATGGGACTTCCTTGCCGGTAGCACCGCATACCCAATGCAGCATGTGAGTATTACTGCATAATTATCTTAATTTCGGGATATAGGGATTTTTAATGGGTCAAATTGAGGCTTTCTCTTGTGGCGCGGAAACTTCGAATTTTCTAGTGATTTCGAGGTAATCGAAAAGTTTGGACGTCGTATGGGACTACATTGCTTGAAAAATTCCTAGGGATATTTGAGACAACGTATTCTTACAGAATTGACAATTTATTAATAATATTATGCACCGTCTCCTTTGCTGACTATTGTAATTTATATATATTGTTATACGTGTCAGGAGCACCGCGTATCCAATGCAGTATGTGAATATTATTGCATAATTATCTTAATTTCGGGATATAGGTATTTTTAATGGGTCAAATTGAGGCCTTCTCTTGTGGCGCGGAAACTTCGAATTTTCTATTGATTTTGAGGTAATTAAAAAGTTTGGACGTTGTATGGGACTACATTGCTTGGAAAATTCCTAGGGATATTTGAGACAACGTATTCATATAGAATTGACAATTTATTAATGTTATGCTCCGTCTTCTTTGCTAACTATTGTCAATTATATATATTGTTACATGTGTCACGAGTCTCCTCTCGAAAAATCTTTTCAGAATAAATTTCTTGTTATATTCTCCGCAGACTTTTGGAGCATTTTTCAATATTAATATAGTTTTGCAGAAATCAAAATGAATGAGAATAGGACTATGCAAGACTGAGTGCGTAGGACGAATGAAAATGAATATTTTAATGTGCACTGCATACTCTTCATTGAAACATAAGCTTGTTTTCTTCAAAGAAAAAATCTGCTCGTTTTAATCAATTTCATATATATTATTCAAATTTCTTTTTTAGCTTTCAGCTAGGAATGACGTTCATTTGAACGTAGTATTTTATTTTGACGAATTCATAGTACATAACCGTTCTTCCAACGCTATCAACTGTAAAAAGGAATACGATATAATGACTGATAATAACGCAACGAATTTTCGAAACAAACCGAGAAAATTACGTAAGACTTCTTTGAAATAATTATTTAACCAACGGTCTTATATGAAACCAATAATTTAGTAGTTTCGAGTAGTTCATTGAAGGGACATCACTCAAAGTGGTATCTACAGTGATTAATGACCGAAGTTAATTGTTCAAGTGGGACAGCTGAATATATTTAAACTAAATTTTTGAGTAAAATAACGAGTCAAGGTAAGCCGTTTTTCAGCCATACATTTCACGCGAAGTGATAACTTTTTCATCAGAAATTGAATGTTTTCATTGGAGTATTTTACAGAATAATTTCGAAGCAGTAAAGAGATAGTAATAAACGATAATAACTTGATATGTTCCAAATGTATTAATTGTTTGGAAAAAAATATCTCGGAAACTGAATTTTCAGAAACGCATTGTTTAAAGGCAAAATTAATTGATTTCGCAGGTAAATAATTAAATAAAGAATTTCTCCTGAATAAAAGAACGAACATGAAGTTTACAGAACAATTAGAAAACCAAATTAACAAATACAATCGCACCAAAAAGCCAGTGTAACGTTTAAAACGATCAATACAGAGGATTACAAGTGAATATGAATTTAATTAAAAAAATATTCTTAATTTTCTGCTGAATTTTTCATGCCAAAGTATTTACCCAGGTGACACAACTATAATTACATATTGTATACGTTTTAACACGAGCAATATTAGTAAAAATCCTAAAAACTTGATATAATTTTATTACGAACGAAAAATGTGTATAATGGCTATTTAAAACTAAGTGTTTCTCGATATACAATCTTTCACAATTAAATCGTAGCGCAATTAAGATACCAATAACTCTAAAACCACGTACCTAGTTCGAAACTCGGTTTCGGCTGTTATCCACAACGACTCATCGAGCATGCTCCATTTTTAATCGAAACAAAAAGGGAGAATACATATCGAACAAGAGGAATCAACAACGCGCAAATTTTTATCGAAAATTCGGCAAAATAACCGCCAATTTATCGTGTCTGCTTTTTTTCTCTGGTACCAGTCAGCTGGGGCTGTTCATCTATGCATTTTTCATGCTCGTCGTCTATTGAAAAAGAAAAAATTTACTGTTGGCCGCATAAGTGTTTGTCCACCTATCGCAGTCGGCGTATGTGGAGGGAAAAGAAAGAAAAGGCACAGGTAAAATTAAAATAAAAAATATAGAAATTAATCTTTATTAAGATAAGCTTGTTTTGTATTAATAAAGATTAATTTATATATTTTTATTTTAATTTTACGTGTACCTTTACTTTCTTTTCCCT